GCCCTGACAATGGGGTGAAAGTTTACGACACACTTTCCCCTACTGACACAGATACCTATGCGCTCATTGGTTCTTTGTTGGGTGCGTTCAACTTTCTCGACTACACGGCCTAATCCAGCTCATAGAAGTATTATGTTTGAAGTGCTGTGTGTGCAAGTTTGTGTTTGTGCTGCTGAGATTTAACAGTTATAACTTTTTCATCACACGAAAACTAATTAGAGGAAATTTGGAGGTGGATCGGTTTTGTCCCCACCATCAACACGAATTTAACTAAGAACAAAGAGATTGAAAACAAAGGCAACTCTTCTCGTTTGAATGGTTCTCAAACTGCCGTGGCTCACCGTGAGTATAGAAAAATCATCACTGATTAATTCTTATTGCTTGCTATTTGGTGGTAAAAAGCTGGAAGAAACCTAAGCCCCTCCCAAATTTTGGTCCACCCACCGCCACTGGTTGTTGTTATTCATGTCTTGTTGTTGTTGTTTGTTGTAGTGTTGGTGTTGTTACACCACTTCAAGGAAATACCTGTGTAAGTCTATGATTATGCAATGGCGAGCGCCGTAAGACACTTACTAAAATATTGATAGATAATAATTATTTTCATTAATCCCTCAACCTCCCTACCACCCCCCTCCTGCCTTGTCCTTCTATTCGAATCAGGTTGACGAAAGCAAGTGGTCAAGTGCTGATACTGACCTCAAGGACAGGTACTGTGATCTGGTCTCATCTTTTGTCAAGACTGGGTGAGTTACCTTTCATTTTAGCCTGTTTTATTTTGCCTTTTTTGCTGTATGTTTTTGTTTGGTGAAATCAGGCGCTTGTCAAAATAGTGAACTCAAAGAAATCAGCATTTTGTGGGCCGATGGGAAATTTAAGCACACATTTTTGTATGGATTTTACTGAAAAACATTGATCAAAGGCACAAAAAATGCAAATTTTGAGTTTCGAAGGACTCTCAGGTTATGAAAGTTACTAAACCTTGCTGGCAATTTTATCACTAATTTTAACTCTGAAACCAGGCGACCCTTACCTCCTTTAATGGCAAATATATCGAATTCTTTCAACACAAATGGATATTTTTTTTCACCTAAAAAAAGGCAAATGAACAGACATAAAGATGATACCAATAACCCCATATGCCAAAAATTGACAGGCGCCTAATTCCACGACGTCGTGACACATATTTCTTTGAATGTGTCCCATTGGAAAAGGGGACATCCCCACACTGTTCCCTCGAAGGGTCTCTTTGACTTCACTAATCCATCTCTTTCTTGGTCTTCCTTTTACCTTGAATCCATCGAATTGCGTGTTGTAGGCATTTGAAGCTGACTGTTGTGGCCCCGTTCTTATGAAGTGTCTAAACCACTTGATTTGTTGTGTCTCAATGTATGTCATGCTTAATGCGATCCACCAGTGAATGAGATCTAGAGGCAGATCTCAGGTGTATTGGGACATAGCTTTGCTGTGTCTCAATGTATGTCATGCTTAATGCGATCCACCAGTGAATGAGATCTAGAGGCAGATCTCAGGTGTATTAGGACATAGCTTTGTTGTGTCTCAATGTATGTCACGCTTAATGCGATCCACCAGTGAATGAGATCTAGAGGCAGATCTCAGGTGTATTGGGACATAACTTTGCTGTGTCTCAATGTATGTCATGCTTAATGCGATCCACCAGTGAATGAGATCTAGAGGCAGATCTCAGGTGTATTGGGACATAGCTTTGTTGTGTCTCAATGTATGTCATGCTCAATGCGATCCACCAGTGAATAAGATCTAGAGGCAGATCTCAGGTGTATTGGGACATAGCTTTGCTGTGTCTCAGTGTATGTCATGCTCAATGCGATCCACCAGTGAATGAGATCTAGAGGCAGCTCTCAGGTGTATTGGGACATAGCTTTGTTGTGTCTCAATGTATGTCATGCTCAATGCGATCCACCAGTGAATGAGATCTAGAGGCAGATCTCAGGTGTATTAGGACATAGTTTGCTGGAGGTGGAGAAGATTGCTCGGAATAGAGATGCATAGAGAGTTCTTTTTGGTGGCCTATTCCCAATACCAGGGTGAAAGAGTCAAACGATGATGATGTTATCATTGATCAATACTTTCGGGTTCTATTTCTTGAGTGAAATCTTGCTCCCTTACAGGAAAGAACAGAAGAACGTTCAACCAGATATGCACTGGCACAATCAGTAGAAAGACCCTTAGCGACATTTTGTAGAGAACAACGAAATATCAATGGACATGTCCAGAATTCAAGGATGTTGCTTCCTGAAACAATGAACAATGCATTTCTTGAGTGATGGTTCCTGCTCTATAAATGCATCCAAAGTCACTGTTTCTTCCCCTCCACCATCTCTCTTCTCTCTATCCCCAGAAAACCGGAAGTGCCAAAAGGAGCCAGTGGCAAGGTGCCCCCAACATGGCCGCCCTATGACCCCGTCAAGGGTCAGTACCTGGCCTTTAGCTCGGCTCCCAGCCTGGCTCAGCACCTCAAGGCAGACCGCCTGAGATTCTTCCAACAGCAGATCCCAGAATGGATCCGGGAATTCCCGCTGCAGCCTCCGAGCAAAGACGAGCTGTAGAGCATCATGGATGAACTCTTTTGATATATTTATAATTTTCTATGAGTTTTTGTTGTTGTTGTTGTTTTGGGGTTGTTGTTTTTTTAGTGTGTGGGGGGGGTAGATTAGTTTTGTTTGGTGGGGGTTTTTTCTTTTCGATCCTCAAGAACCAGAAGTTTGTGTGAATGGTACTGGAGATTATAACTTGAAAAAGACTGGCCACTTTGAGATACCAAATGAAATGTCATCAAAGAATGCGACTGGCAACGTACAGTAATCTATATTTTGGTTATGAAAACTAGTACTGAACTGAATACTACTACTACTACTACAATGTACTACTAGAGAGTGATTTGCTTGGTACAAAAAAGTAGGAATAAAAAGTGGTCTTAAGGAGCGCTTGTTTGATAAATGAAACAGAATGTAAATAGAAGGCCACATTCTATTATAGGGAGTGATGTGTGTGTTGGCGTTAGTTGGCAGTTTTCCTATTTGGCTTTTTTGTGTGCTGGTTATGAAAGTTTGGTTTGTTTTTGGGGAATTCAGTTACGTTTGTTTTATTTTATGAAGTTTGTGTTATGGAATTCAGTTACGTTTGTTTTATTTTATGAAGTTTGTGTTATGGAATTCAGTTACGTTTCTTGTACCTTATGAAGTTTGTTTTAAGGAATTCTTTTACGTTTCTTTTATCTTGTGATGTGTGTTGTAGATCCATGATCAACTTGCTCTGGTGCTACTGTGGTTAAAGATGTCAGTATAGATGTGTGTGTATGTTTGTTTGTGCACTTGTGCGTTTGTGTTTGTACTTATTTGAGTGTGTGCAGGTGTGTGTGAGTGTGTGTGTAAATGTATGTGTGTGCTTATGTGTGCGTGTGTGTGTGTGAGTGTGTGTGTGTGTGTGTATTAGTGTCTGGGTCTGTGTATATGTGTTTAGTTTATGTGTCTGGGAGTATAATATGACACGGAAATTTATTTATACTTTCATATAATAGGCACACTACATAAATAAGAGGCTTATTGGTTATTTGATTAGTTTCAATGATTGATTAATAATGATAGATTGATGTGTCTCTGTAACATGCAAAATGCAAAACGCCTTAAAATAACCTTTTATATATATATATATATATATATATATATATATATATATATATATATATATATATATATAATATATAAATAATATATATATAGGGCCTATTTGTGTCGATCCTTCATTCCGCAGCTTTTTTGCACTTTTTTATTTGTTTTTGTTATTGGTTCTGTTTTGTCTCTTTTGACCAAGTTTCCTAGTTCAAGTGTTTGGCGAGGACCTAAATTTACCTGAATGTACTGAAAGTCAATACAGAATGTTTTACTATCTTTGAAGATTCATACTTGGGATGCTATTATATTTTTCCTGTTCATATGGACAATAAAAAACAACAAAATAACTCGTAATTGGAGCATCCTGATTCTGTCTTGAGATTTTTGGTCATATATGTCTGCTGGATGGAAGTTGGAACTAAACCCAACCCTGAGCTTCCCCTCTCTC